CAAAGACCATTCGGATATGGTTAAGTTTTCCCGTGGTGATTGTGAACTTGGACCTCATCATAGACTCGCTCTCTGAACTCTGTTCTCCGAAGCAGTTGACTCGTCGAGAAACGCAGCCCGCAGGGCCTGAACCACACATATCTATCAAGGAGACGCAAAACGAATATAGATTCGCCTATAGGGCAGATGCTGAAGCTGAGACTCTAGACACAATATCTAAATCCTTGTTGGACTCCAAGGAGGTAGAGGATATAAAAGCCCTCGGCGCGGTGCTCAACGCAATCAACAGTGAGTATGTTCCTAAAGTAATGACTATTCCTGCCACAAACCCACTCATTAACTAGGGAAAGATATGCACAAGATATTATACTCGCGGGAGCTAGGACATCGCGTCGAACAGATTAATGATCCATATGAAAACACTTTCAAATGGGTCTTTAGCCTGAAAAAGAATGAATCTGGCCTCTATTGGATCCAGTATGCCTAAACTACCCTGATGCGCATTGTCTTCTTACATATGTACAAGCCTAAACATACGAGCCCAAATATAAGGTGGCCTAAAACAGGGTTAGCAATTGCCATAATTAACATGCTTAAGAATTTGTAACGCGAAGTTTGGACCAGAATTGGGAATAAGCAAGAGGGCCAGGATTAAGCGTCATCTGCGTTCTGTTGAAGGCAACTTTAGCCGGGGGAAATGAAAACGGGCCTCTAGGCTTGTGCGGCGCTGCGCATGGTATGAATCAGGGAAAGCTCAGGACAAATCAGCCACAGCTCACCCCAGCTCAGGACTACGAACGAAAAAGGGAAGTCAGTGTGCCCAGATTCGTCTCAGATTACCAGGCTGATATAGCAGGGACTTCCCGGCCCACAATGCCATTTGACTTGAGACCCTACTGCCCCCTCAACAACACCCTCACCCACATATTCCGCTGCATGAACAGCGCGTAGTTCTTGCTTTCCCACGGGTTCGTCGGATCAACAATCTGAAAGTCGAAATGCCGCAGCAACTGCCCTAATGTTAGCCCCTGACTTCATCTCACTCCACAACACCACCGGGAACAAACCTCAACAAACACCTTATTCAGCTCCAAAAACGCAACAAACCTCCCGGCACACCCAAACCTGCCATACCCAAACACCAACTCCACCGTCCTCCTCATCTCCGCAACCCTCTCCTTTTCGCCCCCCTCCCACTCCAAGCTCTCAGCATCTTGCCCAAATCCCACCCGCCACGTCGCAGGCAACCACCTCTCAGGCCGAAAGACGTTGGCATCCTCCCCAAAAACGCTCGTGAGCCTCGTGAACTTCTCATAACTCGGTGCAATTCGAGTACCACCAGGGACGAACTTCCCGTCGATGGTGTCACCTTCGGGCGGGACCAACTTGAAGGGGAAGCCGTTAAAGGGGGGATGGAAGCGTAATCCCTCCCAGATTACTGCCTGTAGATAGGGGAGATGCGCGACAGATTCGGCGGAGGTAATCGGGGCGGAGATCTTCCCGTTTTGGATGGCGAGGTCGATTTCATATTGCAGGGTGTTGTAGATACGAGGGGTGGTGATGATGTAGAGCATGGTCGAGCGGAAAGCGGTAGCGGTGGTGTCGGAGCCGGCGAGGACTTGCAGGACGGCTTCGTTGTTGCACTGCATTTCTGTGAGGCCGTGGGCAATGAAGGAGGCGAGCATGTCGTTTTTCTTCTCGGCTTCGGCGGAGGGATGGAACCGCTCGGCGACAATGGCGCGGGTTATGCTGGGGGTGGCGTTAGCACCATCCGTTTGAGATTCAGGGGTAAGGGGGAAGACTTGAACGCACGGGAGGATCTTAAAGATGCCCTTTGCATTCTTCTCGCTTGGGGTCAGTAGTTTTGTGATCCATGAACTGGAGGCGATGTAAGCGAGATAGGGCACCATCGACACGCAGTTCATCGTGGGCACCATCTCGTCCAGCATGTCCAAATGGCCGTAGGGGTCGGATTCTGTCTCGAGGAAGCCAAAGCTACGGGCAAATGCGATTTTCATGATGGAATCGAGGGTGAAGTACTGGGCCATGCGACCCATATCGAGATGGGGCTTTGGAAGTTCTGTTGGGTTGGAAGGGTCGGCAGCGTACTTTGTTCGGATCTTGTTAACCATGGTGGCGATGACGCTGTCGATGTCGGCCTCAAGACCCGGCACATCCTTGCCGTTATACCCAGCTGCTGTTTGTGCTTTGACCTTGTCATGCTCAGCCGTATCCAACAAGCTGAACATGGAATCTTCGCCGGGGATGAGTCGGTTCAGTGAGTACCAGTTGGAGCGAGTGTACCGGGATCGAACAGCGTTCATACGTCGGATCACTACAGGGTCGGACGTAAGAAGCTCGTTAGGACCGATGCGAGTAGTGGCATTCTTGTCAACCACCGGCCTCAACAACTCTCCATGGCGACCACTTCTCAGGATGCGGAGGATCCAGAGGTATGAGAAGCTGGCCAGGAATGGCCCGTTGAAAGCGCGAAGACGCCACCAGGCAATGACGGAGAAAACAACGTAGTAGGACACTGACAGAGCAGCAAGGCCGAGAAAAAGAGTTGATGTTGACATCATGATGCTTGGTTGACCCTGAACTTCTTCAGTTCAACTTCCAGCTCAACGCCCCGACTCTGGCAAGGTCGAGGTGAAGAGTGGGGTTTATCAACATGTCCCCCGACGCCCGGCGTGGATGGGCATGGCGTACGGGGTGCCATTTGCAGCCTAGCCTGGACCGCGAAGTGCAGCTGAAGGGCAGCGTGGATGCAAAGATGAAAGTTGCTATTGGTGTGTGCGGGTTTATCCGTGGCGGTCTAGCTGCAAGTGTCGCCATGCATGGCCCCCAACACGCCAATCTTTCGATCCCGCCCCTCTAACGACATGCCACGCCTGGGAGTGGGGTTTGGCTCTTGACATGTTCTATCTTTCGACGGTGCCTTGATGATGTTCATCAGGATGGGCTGTACGAAGATATTTGGCAAAGTCGAGGAACAAAGATCTCATAAAAGATATGTTTCGATAAACTGAAGACATCCTGCCGGAAAAGGGGGTCCCGATCAGATACATCGGCTACCAATTACACCGTCTCCGTCCACCTCGCAATGCCACAAGTCTCCCCATAACAAGACCCGATGTTCTGCTCCTTCCACTCCTTGAAGCGGTGCTTCGGCTCGTTGACGGCGTGGAAATGGGCCCTTGGCGGTTTGGCTCCATAATTCATGCAGAGCGACCATACGCCGGGAACATCAGGATCGGTGCACCCTGGAGCGGGGTCAAACTCGAACTTCCCGTTAAGACTGTGCTAAATGCCGTTGCGCTCTTTCAGGCCCAGATTGGAGCCGACGACGCGATCGGCGGATGCGGTGGCTACCGTGAAGGCCGAGACAAGAAGGGTTGGGAGGTGCATTGTTGTTACTGGAAGAGATATTTTCGAGTTAGATGGGCAGGGTAGAAAGTCACAAGGAAATAACTTACAAGTTAAAGGTCAGGTCGGTGCACTGAATGTAGAAGAAGGGGGTGGCCGCTGGTGAAGGTACTTGATTTGGACATGAAGACCATGCCTTCAGCCTGGGACACACTGCGATGATATTTATATTGCATCTTCTCAACTATTGCCCTCAGCTCCTCCTTTGCACACCTCTGCCATCACGCAAACCCTCATCCTTATCGGTAATCGCGTGACCACCGTGTTTTTGGGGCACAGCATGGCCAAGAGCCAGCTTGTAACTTGGTCAATGTGGGAACCAAGGGTTCGGAACAAGGGGCAAGACAATACAACTGCCCAAGCGCTGAGTGGCGGGATTCTGGATGTTACGCACAGCTATTCAAGCCGCAACCCTCTGGCGGCCGACCCTTGGCGATCCAAACGACAAACCCGTTTGTCAAATCTCACACACAGCCTAGCTTAAAACACCAACACAACGACATCTGAACAGACGGCTGCATTGTTAAAGTGTGATGAAGCGCGGCCGCACATCATCAATAGCGTGCAAAAGTATTGCATTGGAACCAAGGAACTGACCTTGCTCGAGGCATTCTTCGGCTGCAAATTCCCTATAGTATCACGAATTAGGAAAGGCCTCAGGATTCAACGCAATCAAACTCTTATCCCCGATGTCAGTTGGCACCATGGAAACGCCGAGATATCAACGTTGGGCTTACGGTCAAGGCGGAAGAGCAACCAGTGTTGTGGTGAGTGGAATCATGCGCAACCTTCTCAACTCATTTTCCCAGAAGTACCCACGTCACTCAACGATACCAAAGAGACCGACTACGTTCTCGATAAGTACTCCTAGCCTCCCCCGCTCTGAGTTCTCCCACTCAACTATCTAACACCTACCCCTTTCCACCAACACTCATTCCTCATTCCCCTTTCCACCAACTCTCATTCACTCATTACCCCTAACCTCAACCTCAACTCGCAATCTAACTGCCGAAAATGCATCTCCCCTCCCTCCTCTTCCCCCTCCTCTCCCTCGCAACCACCCTCGTCACCGCCGACTCCATGGCCTCCTACACCGAATGCTGGCCCGGCACCTGCATGTCCCATCGCGCCCTCTGGTTCACGGGGAACGACGTCCAAGCCATCAACGCCGATAGCGGGTGTCGCCCCGGCGCGCCGGGCATGATCGACTTCGTGTCGATTACACCACTGGTCCATGGCGGGGACACTTTCAGTATGCGGGACAAGCGAAGAGGTGTTTTGTGCATGAGAAGAGGATTAGTGAGTTTTTTTCTGGTGTCTGTGGTTGTGGGGAGGAAGAGGAGCTGACAAACGAACACAGACTTGGGGTACAGCAACTGGGAGGACATCACGGGGAGCGAGACGTTCATGGATGTTTGGCAAGAGGTTAGTTACTGTTGGTAGCTGTGTTTGCTGTTCTCCGTGCCACCCTGCATCAGGTTTTGAGTTCGTACAGATACCTTGGAAATACAAAGTGGAATTTCTCCGTCTCCTCACAAGCATCTCTGGTGAGCCTCAACAACATCACAAGAGGTTGAATGGCTCAATGGTAGAGTATCACTTTCCGGTGGTGAAGGTTCTGGGTTCGAGCCCCAGTTTGGTCGATTGCTTCCTTTTTGCACTCCTGATAGACACGAATCCATCCCTTTTTTGACTTTGCTCCGCCCTGGTCATGTCGAGGATCAGTCGTTCCGCTGCGGGACCCACTCCTTGTCAAACAGCATCGACACCCAGTACAGATCGTGACCGACGAGACCCCGTTCCCTAACGTAACGCATTGTTGCCACTGCTTTGTGTGAGTACTTGTGTGCCGGGCGATGAAAAGGGGCAACATACCTCGTTCTGGATCGTGTGCTAGTGTGGCTGTCCGCCACACAAAGTTTACTTGCTCGTCAGTGAGGTTTGCCGCCTTGGCAAGCTCCTGCTTCCCAGCCACGTTATGTGGGAGGGAAAAGGGAACGACACCCTTGTTGATAAAGTGGAAGTGTGCGAGCATGGTTTGTGCTCCCGAATGGTGAGCTCGGATGCTCTCCGGGTTGGCGTACCGACCCTGCCAAACGTCAACCATCCATTCAGTCAAGACGCTGGGGCAGGCAAAAAGCTCACCTTCATATCATACTGCGTTGCCGTCTCTTCGTCCCTCCTCGTCATCATGGCACAGCTGTGCAGCAGCACAAACATGGCAAAGTAAATGCTCAGCCAATAGTCCCTCCTCTTAGCCAGAACCAACTCGTTCAGCTGCTTCAGCACTGCCTTGCTCCATGGTCGCAAGAATGTCGTGTAGTTTATGCACTCAAACTGGGCCGTCATGATCATGGGCATCGGCACCTTGCCATCATGCAGACTATCCTGCGATTCGATGGCCTGCCCGCCCAGCTTCTCGTCCCCGCAGATATGCACCGGGTTGCTGATCAGTCGGCAAATCACCCACAACCTGAACGTATTGCTCAACAGCGACCGCTCCTCGGGGGATTTCGCATTTCCGATGTGTCGAAAGGCCATGGTGTATGTCTCCCACAGCAGGGGGTCCTCGTTCCCCACGCTCGAGAGGATGAAATTGCTGATGTTCCTCTCCACGTACTCCTTCATGTCTGCTGCTGTGGCATGCATATCCGCCACGGCGTACGCCGGCACCGGCACGGTCTTCTTACCGTAGGGAGTCATCCATTGCTCCTCGAGCAGGTCCCCTTCGATAGGGGTAAACTTCCGCACGGCAAACCGGAAAGGGGCTCGGAGGTGGTTGGGCGATACCACGATCCATCGGATCTCGGGGGACGCCCAGTCGTTCTTGGGGATGTCGATGATGTCCATGGACTGCCACCGGCGCGAGTAGACCTGGTACGGGGCACGCTGCTCGCGGTAGAGGGAGGCATCGGTGATGATGTACCGATAGCAGGGCATCTTGCAGAGGGTGGGGCCGGTGATGGACTTGCATGTCAGACAAGGTCCGTAGGGATCTGACTCGTCGGGGTTGCATCGTCCGCGGTTCATGCGGCAGCGGATGCAGGATTTGAGGATGCGGGTGAGGGCGGTGTTGCGCTTCTTGGTCTCGTCGGTGTAGGCACCGCGACGCTTGGGACCCTCACGGGGGCCGACATCGCCTGCCTCACGCTGGCGTTTGGAGGGGCGTTTTCCGGTGGCATCCGCGGGCTTCTCCTTTTTCCGTCGGCGGATGCGCTTGGGAGATGTCAGTGGAGAGATTGGGGTGGGATATGAGTTGATGAAGGGGACAAACCGGAGGTAGCGCCCAGACTTTGCTACATGGCCCGAGCTGGGTGGATTCGTCTGCGGTCTGTTGCACGGGAGCGGAACAAACGGAAGGAGTGATGGCAGTGGACCTCGTGGAGGAGGCCGAGCTGGAGTTGGGGGTCTCGCCGGCGGGCGAGCCGATGGTGCTCGTCTGGCGGGAGGAGGATGCGCGCGTGATCTCCATGTGGACGGCGAGGTGGTCACCAGAGGAGGGGCCGACGCTTTGCGGGGTCAGGCCGGCCGGAGAGGAAGACGAGTCGCCGTCCGAGGAGCGGGGGAAGGAGCCGGAGCCGGAACGGGGACGAGCAACTTGGACCCAGTCGGTGATGACGTCGGGGCTTTCGCCAACGTCACGGGGACTGGACCTGGCCATCGCGTGCCGGGGGCTTGGCGCGCCGATCTCAATCTGGGACCAGGCTCCGCCGGCCGACGCAGGGTCCGTCTCCATGCTCATGCTCGCGCTCATGCTCATGTCGAAGTCGAGGTCGAGGTCAAGATTCAGGTCCAGATCCGACACGGTGAAGGACACGGCCGACGACGACGCGCCGTAGCGCGACCCGGGCGGCGCCAGGTGCTGGTCAAAAGCCCAAGCGTCGTTGTCAGCAGCTGAGCGCGACGGCGATCGCAGCGCACTGGCAGGCGAGTGCGGATGCGTCGCAAACAGATTGGGCGACAGCCCGGGATGGAAGCCGTCGCCAAAGAAGCCGATGGTTGGGCTGCGCGCAAACTGTGACTCCATGCTGTGTCCCTGACTCTGTACCTTTTTTGTCAGGTATTGTGTTGGAGGTACCTTGTCTTCGAGAGCGTCGAGGTGGTGGGCGTGCTGATGCTGTGCCGTGCCGTTGCGAGAATTTCGGCGCAGGTTAGGGGGGCGCGTCAGGGCATCGCAACGCGGTGGCAATTGCAAAATCTCAAGAACAATTCGAGCAGAGATCTGAATCTGACATGAAGTCCAAAGTCGTGTTATTAGAGGGCTCACCGCTCCGAGCGTCGGCTCAATTGCGCGCTCGTCGCTGATAGGGGCGTGTTCGCGCCTTAAGCGTGGTGGCAGTGGTGGCAATGGCAGCTCCGGCCCGCCGGGTTGCGGGAGGACAGGACGCAGAGACCTGGAGCAATGGAATGCTTCCAGGTTGCAGGAGGAAGGAGCGGGCGACGAGGGATTCGGGGCCCGGGCCTATCGTCGGCCGTCCCTCCAAATCGGGCTGTGCACTGCAGGGTGGGGCATTCTGGGACGCTATCGCGGCAGTTTGTGGCAGAGTCTCGGCGACAGCCCCGGAATTTAACCAGTCAGCATGCATAGACCACCTGCTCAACTGCACGTTACACTACAGACAGCCGGTTCCAACCCCCTTACGTCAACCTCTCCAGAGTCTATTGCGTCTGCGCGAGTCCTTAGCCTGGGCTGCAAGTGGGAAGCGGGCAAGCAGAAAAAGTCCTGCGCCACAAAAGGCAACTGCGACCCAGGGGGCGAGAGGGGCAGAGGGGCAGAGGGGGGAGATGAGATTGGCGCTTCGTACTATGTCATTTTCTGGCATGCGCGCGGTGCGATTCCGTTTCGTCAACTTGTCCTGTCTTTGACAAGGAAACGCCGAATCTGTGCGCTTTGGGGAATTCGGGGGCCCCAGGGTCCTGCCGCGCTGTTATTGGCGCCGACCGCGAGCGCGCACCCTGCAACGGTTTTCGCCTGTCGCCCGCAGGATTTGACAAGACGGCTCGGGGGTTGACCCAATGGCGGGCCGTGTGGATCCTTCCCGAACACGCCACCGAGCCCTCCACCGAAAAGACGGGTTGGTTGTCCATTTCTGCAAATTAATCCGTCTTAGTTCTTGCAGCCCTACCACCACAACAAGAAAGCCACATCCCTCGGCACTTGGACTGGCGTCGACAACACAGTCGGCGGCAAAGCAGAATGGCGGCCGCATCAGTCATCACTCGAGACATGCGACATGCCCTACTGACATACTCGTTTGACTCACCCCCGCAAAGTTCTAACTGGATGGATAGGTCCCGAAGCTTCGACGCCTGTGACCAGGTTGTTGCCTATCTATGTTGAGATAGGGGGAGAAGACACCACACTCGTCATCGTCTTCGTCACTTTTCCACGTCACAGTTGCAGTTGCCGCCTACTTACCTACACACCATCCTCACTAGCCCCTACGCCTCTCTGTCGCCAAGGCATGACTCTCTCAAGCATTCGCGCGCGTTTTCCGCCCCTGACATCAACTTTCTCGAAGCCCGCGTACTCTTGACGTCGCAACTCATCCGAGTGCACCACGTGCGCACCCTCCGACATGACACGGGCGCCTGTCCTCCGGCGAATAGCCTTCATGATGCGGCCCTCCAACCGGCTCATCTCTTGGTCACTCACTTCCGCACTGGCCTGCTTGAGGCGCCGACGGTCTACCGTCCACCAGGTGCCGACGATGACTGCTGTCAGCGGGATGCAGATGGCGAAGTAGATCCAGACTCGAGAGGAGACACTGCCACCGTTCTCGTCGACAAAGTCGAAGAAGGACATGCCGAAAATGGAGGAAACGAGAGCGCTTGGTAGGAATACCGCGCCCAGAAGGGTCAGGGTCTTCATGGAGGTGCTTTCTCGACCTGCGAGTTGCGCGAGCCGCTGCTGTTGGGCCGCGATGGAAAGACTCAACCTAGACTCGCGCTGCGAGATGAAGCTGTTCATCTGCGATTCTGTCAGCCCTCAACAGCATCAACGATCAAGGTGCATTTCCGACGTACAACTTCACGCTGGATGTCGAGCCGTTCAAGGGATACCTGGATGTAGCTCTCCAGACCATCGAGTCTCACAGAGGCAAAGTCGAGGCGTCGCTGGATCGTGGCCTGCAAGTCTTCCAGCCCCTTGATCTCTCGGTCTTGGTCTGATAGCCGCTCCCAGAAGCACCCCGTGGCGTCTTTCAGACGCCCCACGGCACCTTGCCACACCTGCGGTCGCTTCCACATGACTTTGCATTGCAGGTCAGCCAACTCCCGGTTGATCTTGTCCAGCATGATGTCGGTCTCGGGGCCGTATCCCTCAGCCGGGGCCATGTTGTAGCGATCGCCACCCATGGCGCTCTCCAAGTCGCGCAGCCTATCGCGAATCTGCCGCTGGTTGATCTCTGTCGTTGGTGCCAATCCTGCTTCCAGCATGAGCAACGGTAAAAGAAGTGGATGCACAGCAACCTCTTTGGCACATGCTGCTGAAAGTGACTCCATGATGTCAATGATCCCCGCCGACTTGGTGCCGCGGACGTATCCAGAAGTGATCTTTGCCCGGAACGAATACGAGAGGGCCATCTCCCATCCGCGAGATGTCCCTTTCCATCGCACATCTGACTTGCGAAAGACGAGCTGCAGAAACTTGTTTTCTTTGTCTGCCGGATCGCGGCACAACCCCCACCAGAAAAAGGGTCCGACAACACTGGAGCTCTCGACAGCCTGGGGGGGAAGGTTCATGCTGCTGACAAGCGACACATAGTGCGGCTCTGCAAAGGACATGACGTTGTGGTTGAAGGCTGTTGCACCCTGGACATCGTCTTGGATCCTATCGATTGGTCAGCATATCCGCAATGATAGAGTCATTGTAACGCCCAGTAGGTATGTTTTACACCAATCGAATCCCGTTGGTTACACCGTCCAAGGTTGGTGACGCGAACACACCCTGCATTGCGGGTGGGAGTTAGCAGCAGGTTTCGATCTTAGCATGGGATGCATGTTGGCCCACCTTGCGATGGAGGAAATTGTCGAGGTCATGGATGCTGAGTTTGTGCACCTCTGAGTCGTGACATTTTGGTTCTTGCCCCTGACTGAGGTGTAAGTGCTTGTGATTTCCAGGCTACACCCAATTTAAGAGGCAAAAAGACCGCCATCGACTGGCGAAGTATCTAAATGAAAAAATTTGACCGAAAATGTTTACCTGATAATTCAGTATCTCAAGATATTTCATGTCCTCTGGCACAAACTCAAATCCCTCAAGACACTTTCGAAAGAGCAAGTCATCCATGGCGGGCGAATCCGCTTGAACCAAAGAGGGCCGAGCTGATGATACTGGGCGGTTGGTTGCGGTATGGGATAGGTGCGGTGTAGAACTACAGGAAGTTCTCAGGTGATGAGGTCAATCAAATGCGGGGATGACTGCGGCTCTTCGTCCCCGAGTGCAGACTGAGCGATAAGCCCGTACCTAGCTCCATGGCGGCAGGTCAATGCCGTCCGGACCTCCCTCATTCTGAGTCCGGCCCGGGGGTCAGGATGCGGCTCCCTGCCAGTGTGTGTGCTGTCCTCGACGGTCAATGGAGAGTCTGCACGCCTTTGCATTTGTCTGGTGTCACAAAGGCGGGGTGTGGCGCTGGAAAGTGCAGTTTTGATGCAAGTTGAGGTGGGGGAGATGCACTGGTTATCACTGCATTTACCAACGTGAGTGTGGTGCCCGCGGTGGGATGATGCCATTCTCTCTCAGTCTTGGAAAGAATACAATGATGGGGGAATTTCGGGGAGAGGAAGAGATCAGTGTCCATGTCAGTCAACTCCAGACTGTTCAGGGGCATGATGACCCGGCACCACCACCTTGTAATGTGCCGATCGAAGATCAACACGGACGAGAGAGAGATATGAGTTTGCCAGAGGATAGTCATCCTCTTCTCACCCGAGCTACACACATGGAATGGTATGCGAGGGAAAGGGGGGAACAACAAAAGGGTTAGGGTGCGCCCCTTTTCAGTCCTGATGTCACGGTGGTTTCCATCAGATTCGCATACGGATTCTCCATTGTCGACAAATGAAACATATTCTGTCTAGTCGTAATCTATGGTATATCTGCCTCTTGGCTAAAAACAAATGAAAATGCAACGTCAGTCGTGTCATATCATCTCATGTCCAAAGGAACTGTCGGGGTCCCATCCCGTTACCCCTGAGGTTACCCCTGAGCTCCACCCGAACCTGCGTCAAAGGTTTCCACCTAAGCCCTACCTCCCCACACCACAGCTTTATATCTCACGTCAGCTAGCCCCATTTGCATCAAACAAACAAACTCTCATCCCTCGTGGCGCAATTGGCTAGCGCGTCAGACTGTTATTCCTGATCAAGGAGCCTCTTCACCGAGGAATAGACATCTGGAGGCTGTAAGTTCGACCCTTACCGAGGGAGGTATTCCTTCTTTTTTGCCCTTGAACCTCCTGTCGCTTCGGCAAATCTGCGTCCTCGTCATTTCTTTCGTTTCCTTCTTGGAGTGCTGGTCAATTTCACGCCCCATTCGCCCTCAACAACGCATCCACCTTCCTCTGCACCTCGATCTTCAACAGGCTCTTCTCCAGCTCCGCCACCTTCACTTCTTCCCTCCACCACCAGCCGAGTCCCAGCAATGCACCCGGACCGAGCGTCAATCCTGTCGCTGCTGCCCCAGTCGCCATTGCAGCCCATCCCGTCGCTTTTGAACCCCCGCGCAATGCTTTGGGCAGATACTGGTACCCCATCCCCCGCTCTCCAGTCACATCCCCTGCAGACTCCCTCGCGTACACAACCCCCAACCACAATACCATCGCCCCAAACACAAACGTCCAATCCCAGCGGAGGAACTGCGCCGAAAAGGCCGTCAGGCTAGGAAGCCCATCCGCCGGTGATCCTGTCGGGACGAAAATCTCGGCAATGTGGCCCCTGGTTCGAAACAGTGTGAACACCCATGCCGCCGCACCGAGAATAGAAGGGACGCCGATGGAGATGCGCATCAGAAGGAGGTCCCGGTAAAGCTTCGGGAGGGATATCGACGGCGTGGACGGGTCGGAGGCGTGAGAATCAGGTTCGGAGTCGGAGTCGGAGGTGGTGGATACCGCGGAGGAGGGTGGACGGACGGAAATCCCAGAAATGTCGACTTTCGGTGTCGGGGAGAGGATGGCGATGGTGTGGTAGGCGAGACTGACCCAAACGGGGAAGAGCTGCCAGATGGAGAGGAAAGCCTGTCGGTCGGCAAGGTCTGGTGATGCGAGGGTTAGGAGGGTGGGGGTGTAGAATCCCAGGACAAGAGCTGGCAACAAGGCGGTAGTTGACGACGGTAAGGAGTAGGATGCTGCGGAGGGTGCGATGAGTGAGAGGAAGGCGTAGAGGGGGGCGACCACGCCGAGGCCGATGAGCTGGCCTGTGAGAGCGAGGAGAGAGGGACTGTTGTGGTTGTCAGTCGATGCTAGGCGGACGTGAAAAGGGAGGACGTACTATTGCAAGTACAATGACTTGCGCCCCGAACGGAGGGATTCCAGCCACCAGATGGCCAATACCACGCCGCCATCAGAGAGGAAGGAGATGACCTGCGTCCGAGATGTCGAGTCGTAGCCATACACGGCGGGCATGAAGAACATGTTGGCGAGAGAGACACTGGCGGTTTGTCAGTCATCAATCCAGAATGGGGAGTGGACAAAACAAACATGTCATCTAACCCCCCGATGTTGTAGAAATTCTGGAGAATCGGCACGCCACGCCATCCATCGTTCCAGACGACATTGCGCGAGTCGAGCTGGGCCTTGGCGAACGACAGTGCCGGTCCGATGCTCATGATGTGCGATGCGACCATGCAGAGGCCTAGCAGCGGCAGCGCCACGAGATACCGACTCCAATCTTTGCTAGCGATCGAGCCCCCTCGAAGCGACCCGAGGGAGGCCAATTGGCGTGTCATTCCTTTGGCGGAGTCCATTGTTGCGGTGTTTTGTCAACGGTCGCTAGCTCCGTCGGCGGATGCAGTCGAAAAATTGGCGACGCTGAACCATTTCGCTGCAGTTTCTGCAAAAACGCAAAAAACCTGGCCTGGCAAAACCAGGAGCGTCATTTATTTTCGGGACGAAACTCCTCTCATCTTATTAAAGGGGATTTTAGCCAGGCCAGAAACCCACCGACCACAGATTTCTCACTGCATTGCTGGCTGGGCTGGTCCTGGCGCTCGCAGCAACTCGGTCGCCTTGGCTGCTGCGCGACTGGTCAGTGCTTATGACGTGGCAGCCGAGAATTGGCGACGCGGGCGGAGACCAGCAGGGCGGCGCCAAACAAATCCCAATGGCTGGGCGTATGGGAGGCAGTTTGGAGACATTCTGGATGCCCAATGATGTGGACGTGATCTCCGCCCATGCCATTTCATTGCGCGACGTGGCTCGTCCCATGCGCTGGTGCAGACCTGGGAAGTTGTCGGGTGCCAGTCAACGGGAAAGCAGCGTCGCACCGGGTGGTTGACCGCGCAGTCGTGTTCATGCACGTGCACGGTTCAGGAGGGGGACTGTCCAGTGCTCGATCGCTCTTGCAGGAAAATTTCTCCAGTCGTCTCCAGTCAAACTCTCCCTTTTCGAGGCCAATTCAGCCACCTCAATTGTTGCACACTCAAGCAGGTGGGGGAATGCAGAAAGAGGGGTGCAACTTGCACCGCGCAACGTCAAGATTGAGCCAGCTAGCAATGTTGGTCGCAGAAACTGGGGCATTGCAAAAATAGAGGGTTGGACTGTTCGCACTCTGCCGCCAGGGGACTCGACAACGGTCTGCTCCGTCACACCGCATGAAAGCAAGAAGTGCTCGACACTGAAAACATAGATTGGTTACATAAATCAACGAGCTCAAACATCAAGCCAACCCATCTGCTGTTGCTGGGTGGTCTTGCTTCATTGGGAACTTCGTTGCCCATCCGGGCGCGCATTCGATTCAAACACTGGGCTTCCAATTGGAGACTTCATCTACCACTACTTGTATCTCATTGCCAGACATTCACTGGCATGATAGAAAGCTATATACAATACAGCTCCCTTATCAAGTTGCTCAAGCCGTCGCAGTGGCAGTGGGACTCGCCCCCAAGGGTTGCTCCAAGCCACTCCCGCTGAGCCGGGGGTCATTGGGGTTCGTCACCAGGGTCGTGTTGCTCTCAACCGCAATCTGAGCACCTCCCTCTTCCGCAATGGACCATGCACACAGCGATTCCACCCAGTTATGCATCCTGCAGATGTGATTCTGCTCGCAGGGGGCACCGCTCTCGCCCTGGTGTGTGATGCATCGCTTGCCCCCGCCGTTGAAGTAGAAGTGCCCGCGGCGTCGGGGCCAGTCAATGCAGACTTGGGCCATTGATGAGGGAGTGGGAGGTCAGCCATGGGCTTCGCCTGGGTTCAAAGAAAGCGTAGACGTACTGTTTGGGACTCCGGTGTTGGAGTGGCAGCCTGAGAGCAGGTTGTTGATGATATGCGATGACTGGTCCTTGTGCCGGACTCCGCGCATTTGGCAGGTCCCGCTTTGCCGACATTGCGAATAGGCCACCATGTAGTCGGTTGCCCATGCGCCCTGCACCAGCAACATGCTGACAAGAGAGAGGGGGGCTGAATTGAAGAGATGCATTGTTGTGGGCGGAATGGAGTCAGAGTTGGAAGAAATGGGGATAGGGGGGTGGGATGGATCGTCGAGCAGCATTTTATTCTCTGAGAATGAGCAGTTGGCCTCGCCTTAAATGCCGAGGAAGCACGCCGCACACCTCACTAACAATATCTGAATGATTCATCTGGATGGCGTTGTTGTTGACGACGTCCAATTTCCCAGCCCGGGTTATGCAACCGAGTTCGGCCGAGTTGCTGTTGGTGGCTTGCTGCCTTGTCAGGATAGAGTTAGTCTGTAGTGGTAACAATGATCCTTCGCAGCCCATCTGGTGTTGGATGTCACACGCTGCTGCAGAGTCCTTCTGCTCTGATTGGCCAGTTTAGCTGGAACGAATTATTCATCGGGGAGCACTCCAAAGATCGTAACCCCCAAGGACAAAACTGACAACAAGTACAATATATTGTTTCGAGTCTCAATATACCGTCTCCATTATCGTCCATATCGCGCTAAAAATGGGTGACAGTTGGTGATAAGTCGGCCCAACACTGCCCGACTTCCATTCCAGTTGGCTTCATCCCTGCCAACATAACTTGCCCCTGGTTGATACTAGATAGGGTCTTCAGGAGCTTGGACTTGGGGAAGCGCGTGGGATGAAAAAAGGAGAGATATAAGAGAGAAGTACTTGCGGTTTAGAAGGGCTGCTCTCACAAACTTCGCCCAATATCCATTCCCTTTTTCCCCCCTCTTCCAACACACCTCGATTGCTTCCACGTGGATATCAGGTCGGTAAGAGGGGCGAGGGTCTGGGTCGAGGGCGCGTGCGTAACCGCACTGTTGGGGCCAGATATTGCGTGGAAATTACGCGCGGAAGGCTTAGAATTGCATGCAAAAGAGGTTGCACTGCAATATAGATGGTGGTGGACAGGAGTGGACAGAAAACGGGAAAAAAATGCTGTGGGTAGTGACCCAAACGCGAAATTTCCCGTCGCGTGTCGCGAACGTGTCTTAGAGGTTTTGACTGTCCTACGAAGTAGGGGGAGTCCTGAAAATTTGACCCCACTCCCCCAAGTATGCCGATTTTGGTGGCCGGAAAGGCAGGGTGGCTAGAAACACCGTGCATTACGTTATTGGGGGCGAGAAATGAGGCAAGGTTGCCTCACACTGCTTTTTTAGCATCCCCAGTGGACATCTTCGCCCCCACAATTCGAGGTCTCTTGGTTGGCCAACCAAGTTTGTTTGCGTTGCGACCCCAGCCCTCTTCAAACTTCTTTCCGATCACAACGCGATACCCAGTCACAACCAACGGTAATCTGCATGTGTAACTACCTTCTACCGCCAGTGTGCGCCTTTTCTTTTGTCAAGCCATTCTAATTCTGATCAAACCGTAACTGAACAAGCCGACCGGTTTGTCCCATGATCATTTTCCCCTCCAAAATGCTGCGAAATCAACCCAGGCAAAGATGGACGAGATGAATTAAACACCCTTTGTCGTCCAACATGTTAGCTCAGAGACCACAATATCCGCGGCACGGGACTTGGAACGACTCACGCCACAATGATAGCCAAAACAAAAGATATCCCAACCGGCCTATCTCCTTTGCGAAGGAGATCCGGGTGATCGCATTCAGTAATGGGTATATCCTTGCAGTCATCCGGATATCCGCTCAGCGCGTACGTCGTGGTTGTCAACACAACCACCAGCACTACCGTGAAGAGTTCCAAGATGCCCAGATACAATGGCGAAAGCCGCGGAACCCGCCTGCTCGCATCAGCAAGCCCTACGATTTCCATCATGTCCACTGCAAGTGCCCAGAAGCCCT